TAAAACACAACCCAGGTCAATAGTACAGTAGGCTGCAGTGGGGGTACCTGATAGTCGCCACCGCGGAGAGAACAAGAACCGTGAAAAGCAAAACACCTCCGTCTAGACACCCCGAAGATCACCGTGGTATGGTGACCAGATACCACGCACACTCTCATTCAAACTTGTGACTGGCTTCTTGACCCGCTTCAACTTCTCTCCACTGGCTTCCTTGAGAAGATTTGCCTTCTTCAGGATTTCGTGAGGCTCCATATTCCGTACACATACGGGTTTCTCACGGCCGTTGATGTAGAGGCCCTTAATCAGAGGGTGCTTCTGGGGTCGGGGGGAGACTCGGATCTCAATCTGAGGGTTTTCGCGAGCGAAGGCGGGGAGGTTTTTCTCCAAGAAAGCACTGGGACGTTCCATGTTAGTACGGATATTTCTGGAAAGGGAGTTTCCACCATTTAGGAGACACCTACACCATGCCCTTTGAGCTGCCCGCCCAGTTGCAGTAATGGAAGTCAAGGCGTTTGCATTGTAGGATGAAGGCACCGGCGCCGTTCTAAGCAGATCACCTGGGTCAGCTCGGCAATTGATTTCAAAAATCTGGACTTCACCTACCCTGGCTGCCGTAGATGTTCTAATTCCACGCAACGGCATCGTTCTGGTCGTCAACAGTTATCGTCGGAGTTCACAAGTCGCAATGGCTCTCCGGGGCATTTTGTGGTGCACGTGACTGGCAAGGGCGGTGAGTCACACGCACCAATGGGATGGATGTACAGCGATTTCCATCATTTGGCGCTAAGACCAGAACTGCGACGCGAAGCTCTCACTCCTGAGGTTTCACTGAACTTCCACACATCATCTTTTCTTCACGTCCTGACTCTGTCTGCCTTGGGTTCACAACTCAGCATGACAGATAAGCTACCCCCGCCACTTTTGGCGCTATTCCAGCCCCGCCCACCCCTTCGATATCTGCCTCCTAGCGATCGTGCACCAGATGACTGCCAAAAGAGCACTATTTCTGGAGTGGCCCAGTTCCTTGCCGACGCTAAAACTTTCGCCGATGAAGTTCCCTACAATGCAACTGAAAGCTGGGTGCATCGCAAATTGCGCGAGAAAACCGAGAAGAAAGAGCAGCTAGAGAAGCAGATAGCGGAAGGACTGAAAAACTGTACGTTTTACATTTCACAATTGGACTTGTATTCCAAGAGGCTAACCTAGATATGTCTTACAGACAAGCCGAAAGAAAATCCTCAAGCTCGAGGTGACCCATTCAAGACTCTCTTTGTTGGACGTCTCAATTATGAAGCCAAAGAAGCCGACCTGGAACGAGAGTTCGGCCGATTTGGCCCTATTGAAAGAGTATGCCTTATTCTACCTGTGCTTCGTAAAGACAACCAGCGCTAACATCATGGTGACAGATTTCTATTGTCAAAGACACAGTATCAGACAAGAAAAAGAAACCCCACCGAGGCTATGCATTTGTCGTGTTCGAGCGCGAGAAGGATATGAGAGGTATCACTACCATGCTGATTTACTTGGCACTTAACCCATTTGTTTGTTCTGTTTTACGGTAAGAAAAATGCTGACACTAGTTCTTTCCCCCATATCAGCGGCCTACAAAGAAACAGAAAGCCTCAGAATCAAAGGACGACTAGCCGTGGTGGATGTCGAACGTGGCCGCACCACCAAGGGGTGGAAGCCCCGTCGTCTTGGTGGCGGTCTCGGAGGGCGCGGATACACCAAACTCTCGGTGCCCCCTCGCGGTGGACCCGGTGGTTTCAATAACGCACCATCTGGACCGGGTGGGTATGGAGGATTCCGCGGAAGTCACGGTGGCAGAGGTGGAGGTGGTGGTTTCCGCGGTGGGGGATTCCGCGGTGGCGGTGACCGCTTTGGAGGTTCTCGCGGTGGTATCGGATACCAGGGCAACCGTGGCGGCTTCGGTGGACAGGCACCTCCTAACGCGCCCTCCGGCCCTGGCGGTGGACGCAGCGGAGGTTTCAGAGGTGGTAGCTTCGGCGGCGATCGTGGTGACCGCGGCGGTGGCGCTGGTGGTAGATTCGACCGTGGTGCAACTGGCAGCAATTCGGAGCCTGTGCGGCCTCGAGATAGCTATGCTGACCGTGACCGCCGCGACTATGACCGCGAAGACCGTTATAGAGATCGTGACCGTGACCGCATGGCAGACCGAAATGGAGACCGATTCCGCGACCGGGATCGTGAACGTGGTGACAGGTATGGTGGCAGCAGCCGCGATGGTGGTCGTGATGGCGGTCGTGAAGATTATGGACGCAAACGAAACCGTGAGGATGAACCTGGACACGATGATCCCCGTTCCAGGAGAAGGTACTAGGCCTTCACTTATCCCCCGAATCTCACCTCTTTCCTATAAAGTCTGGGTTTGCTAGTGGGTATGACTGATCTACCCAGTTTTCATCGCTCTTTCTCAAGGGTAAGGGGGTAATTCCTGGATTGGCCCATGTGCAATTCAGTCCGTTTCAACGATCACAACCGTCA